TTGGATAACAACTCGTTTTAAGATGTTTAAACTTGGTTTTTGAATGTAAACACGAGCCTCTGAATTCCAAAAACGGTTTTCAAATCAGAAAGTGGGTTCTTGAATTCCAAACAAGTGGTTTTCGACTTCAAAAGCGCGCCTCCGTGGCCGGACCAGGGGGATCTGTGCACCGATCCCGAGCCCAGGGCCGATCCTGGGCTCAGGATCGGTGCCTGCGCATCTTCGTTGGAGCCAGGGTGCCCACCTCTCGGGGTGCCCTGTGGGCGCCTTTCCACGTCCAGCCCGCTCCCGTTGCTCCGGGCACAGTTGCGCCTGCTGGACCTGGGAACCCTTGTCCCCTCCCCACTGTGTCCCTCCTCGCCGCATCCCCGTCTCATCACACGGCTGGCCGGTTCACCCGCTTCCAGCCGGACCTCGCTGTAGGACCAGCTCGTGCGCGAGGGGCGGCGGCGGAAGCGGCAGCGAGAGCGACGAGGACGAGCAGGTCGGCAGCTGACGAGCCCAGGCAGGAGGCAGGGCGTGCACGCTGGTCTCCTGCCGAGCTGCGAGGCGTGGAAGTAGGGCCCCCGCCGTGGAGCTGTCCAGAACACGCGTCCGTGCGTGATCGTTTTCTTACTCATTGTTTCGCCGATCGGCCCCTCTCCCCCCCCTCCCCTGTGAAGCTCGCTCTCGAGGAGGCGTCCCGTTCCCTGCGGCCCTGGGGATGCGACGCCCTCTGGGGGCGAGCTCTCCGACCGCAGCTTTTCCCACGGGGGCCGAGCCTCTGGGCGGGGCAGGGTGAGGCACCTCCGCAGCTGTGCCCCCTAGCCTGAAGTCGGGCTTGTCCCACTACAGGGGGCATATCAAAAAATAGTTTTAAAAAATAGTCAGGGACTATTTTGTGAGCATTTGTATGTTTAGAGCATTTTTCAATTTTCGTCGAAAATTTCCCTGTGGGGACACGCCCGACTTAACCCGAGCCCCCGCCGCCGACGGCTGGCTGTGGCAAGGATTTGCCAGGCGGGCTCTCGCACGAAACTAGCAAGCCTCTCCCCCCCCATGGAGTGGATCTTGGCTGTTGTTGGCGCCTATTTCAAGCGAGTGGGGTCTCCCCCAGAGGACGCAGGGTTCCAGACAGTCGCGCTGAGCAGAGGTCCGGAGACAGACCCCAACCCCCCTCCCCTGCCCCATCCGCTCAATATCGGAACGCCGAATAAGAAAACGGGCCGCCGCCGACACTCAGCTACGCAAGGCGCCCAGAGCACGAGGCAGTCCCCAGGGAAATGGACGTCTGGACAGGAAGTGCCCCCTCCAGGTCAAACTGAACGGGGCCTCCCGCGAACGGCAGGCCTATGTGGCTCCCGCCTTTTAAGTCACGCGATGATATCCGCCACCGTGCATCCAGCACGTGGCACGTGGCAGAGTGGCCCGAAGCTCGTGCAGCCCCCAACGCAATGTGGGTCCCGCACTAGAAAAGAGGGGACCCTCCCCCGTCCTCACCTGGGGCAGGGAACAGCTCTCCTGGCGGCGAATGATTTATGATTCTCCCCCCCGTGCGTTGTCGTCGTCGTCGTCGGCCGTTCGCCGTCGTCATTCGTCGTCGTCGTCGGTTCAAGGTCGCCCTTCTGAATGGAGGGGTGGCAGGGCTCTCTTTTGGGCCTCCTAGATAGGGTTGGAGTAGCTGGGGTCGGAGGATCCTACCGTATCGCCGATGACTCGGCGATGCGGCTCGAAGTGTAGCCTGATTTTCTCCGCGCTGGCGTCGCCGATGCATCGCCGACGTTTCCGACGCATCGCCGATGCATCGGCGATGCATTTGCGATGCGACGTGATCTTCCGACCCCATCCAAGTTGCTCGGACCCCATCTAGGAGGCCTCTATCTCTAGGTTCTGGCAGGGAGGCGTCGCAAGGTTCTCTGCGCTCCCGGCAGGGGGCTTCGCAGGGCTCTCAACGTCCTTGTGCCGTTTCAAGCGCCCTGTGAAGCCGTCAATTCGGGCGCGTCTGCCATTTCAAGCGACCGTGGAAGCGAGAAACCCTGGCCGGGAATGCTTGACGATCTGTGGTCCGGGACCCGGCCGGGGCCCAGATTCCAGATTCCGACGGAGTCGAGACCACAGATGACGCGGAAACGAAGCCACGGAGAACATGGGACCGAGACCACGGGGTGCACGGAGCGGGAGTCGCGAGGAACATGGGGGAGCACGGGGCCGAGGGCACGGGGGACACGGGACCGACGCCACGGAGGACACTGAGGACATGGGAGCGAGGCCACGGGCACTGCGGGGATCGCGAGACCGAAGCCACGGATGACACGCGACCGCTGCCGCGGAGGGCCAGGGGACAGAGGCCAACGGAAGTCACGGTGGCGGCCGTGGTGGCCGTGACGGTCGCGGTGGCCGCGGCGGCCGCGGCGGCCGTGGTGGCCGCGGCGGCCGTGGCGGCCGCGGCGGCTTGCCAGCCGTGCTGGGCACGACCGCCGTGGCCGCGTTACAGTTTGGCCACCCGCTATGCTTCGCCTGAGGCCGCCGGCGATCTTGGGCCGAAGCTCGGGCGAAGAGAGCTATGCACATGCACCGATCCTGACAACGCCCATCCTTGACCCATGATCGGTGCATATGCCTTCCTGGCCAAGGTAAGAGGGCGTATGCACCGATCCTGGGCTCATGGTTGGGCCTGGCCAGAATCGGTGTATGTGCATAAGTATCTTTCCTCTAGAAGCATCTGTTATGACAACTGGAACCACCTTGTCTTGTCGGTAGGGGCGGCTGGAACACTGCCCTTTCGTAAAAGACTGAGGGCTGGAACCTCACCCAGCTCAGGGCTTAATCGAAGACGCCTGCGGCGAATCACCGCCGCTCCTTGCCTTCTTGGAAGCGCCCGCGTGGCCGAAAGTTGGGAATGAGCTTGGCCAAGCTATCGGGCCACGCGTTCCCCGAGCGGGTTTCGGAAGCCTTCGGGGAACACTGAGTCGGGCGAGCTATCGGACCAGGTGGTTTCCGAGTTTTCGGCTTTTTCCTGGAGGACGTCTTGCCGCCGAAGCATCACCGCCGCCCCCTGCCTTTTTGGAAGCGCCTACGTGGCCGAAGATTGTGGCCAGCGGCCTGCCAAGCTATCGGACCATGTGTTCCCCGAATCGGTTTGGAAAGCCTTTTGGGGGCATCTTGGGGCCGTCTTGGGCCTCTTGGGCGATGTTTGGGGGCGCTTGGGTCGTCTTGGGCCGTCGGAAGGCCGAACAAAAAGCAAAAAACAACTTATGGGAAATCAGTAATTTTGGACTTTTCGGGCCTTCCTGGAGGCCCTCTTGGAGGCCTCTTGGGCCGTCTTGGGCCATCTTAGTGCCATCTTCGGCCGTTTTGGTGGGCCCCTGGCTCGTCCGACGCCGTCGAAAGCCGTTTGGGGGGCCTCTCTGAGCCGATTTGGGGCCCTCTTGAAATGCTCGAGGGTCGTCTTGGAGGCCATCTTGGGCGTCTTAAAAGGCCTCCTGGGCCGTCTTGGGGGCCTCTTGGGGCCGTCTTGGAGGCCTCTAGGGCCGTTCTGGGGCCATCTTGGAGGCTTCTTGGGCGATCTTTGGGCGATCTTTGGGAGCTCTTGGGCCGTATTGGGCCGTCGGAAGGCCGAAACGAAGCAAATGTCAACATCCTTCAACAAAACCAACGGACAATCCGTATTTTTTGCCTTCTCTGGCCTTCCTGGAGGCCCTCTTGGAGGCCTCTTGGGCCGTCTTGGGCCAGCTTCGAGCCAACTTCGGCTATCTTGGAGGGCTCCTGGCCCGTCGGAAGCCGTTCGGGGAGTCTTTCTGGGCCGATTTGGGGCCCTCTTGGGGTGCTCCAGGGCCGTCTTAGAGGCCATCTTGGGCGTCTTGGAGGCCTCTTGGGTCGTCTTTGTGCCCTCTTGGGGCCGTCTTGGGGGCCTCTTGGGCAGTCCTGAGGCCATCTTGGAGGCCTCTTGGGCGCTGTGGGGGCGATCTTGGGGGCCTCTTGGGCCGTCTTGGGTCGTCGGAAAGCCGAAAAGAAGCGAATGCCAAAATCCTTCGAAAACCTAAGGAATATCAATGATTTGGGCCTCTCCGGGCCCTCCTGGAGGACCTCTTGGAGGCCTCTTGGACCGTCTTGGAGGCCTTTGGGGGGCCTCTTGGGCCGTCTTGGACTCCCTTAGGCCGTCTCGGAGGCCGTCTTGGACCATCTTGGGCGGACCTGGAGACCATCTTGGACCATCTTGGAGGCCATCTTGGGCCAACATGGCCATCTTGGAGGCCATCTTGAGCAGTTTTGGAGGATTTGTTGTGCACGCTGAGGTGGTTTACGCGGCCTTCCGGGACCCTGGCGGAACTGGCCGAAGCCCCAGGGGGAGTTCTTTTGGAAAAGAACCGAAACCGATAGGGTTCACGCCAGGCACCCCTGCGATGAATCGACACGGGGCGGCGGATCGAATGGCTGTCGGACCATCCCACCACCGTGCCTGGAGTGTGGGTCAGAGTCCTCAGGGACGCTTCTTGGGGTCTCTTCGGAGCGCTCTGTGGGGCCCACGGGGGCAGTTGTAGGGCCTCTCTGGGGCCTCTTCGGAGGCATTTGTGATTCGTGGCCCGAGGGAAGTTTTACAATTTTTGAGCTTACATTAGGATCGCTTCTCCCACCCCTTTCTCCTTCCTCTTCCTCGCTCCCTTCCCTCGTCTTTCCTCCTCCTCCCCCTAAATGACAGTATTCAAGAGGCCTCTGAGAAGCTTCCTCTTGTCCACGATACACCACCTGTTCCTCCCCGACAATCTCACAGGAGTCCACCAATGTCTCAGTTTTTCTGTAGTCCATAGTCCTTGTCGTCTCGTGTTTTCGAGGCTCCAAATGGAATTTCGGGGTAATTATATTGCTAAACACAAATCGTCGATCGTCGTGGGAATGGTTTGATGCGTTCATTGTCAACTTGGCGATTTCAGTAAGGACGTCCATGAGGCCCCATGAAGCCCTTTGCATCGCTGCACGAGGGACCCCGAGACCCGTGCCCCCCAGAAGAGCCCAAAAGAGTTTGACCAACATTCTGGTCTACAAACGAGGCACACGAGATGAGCCGCAGGCCACCAGTTCAGTCTCGAATCCTTGTCTCGTTTTCGTGTGGATGAGCCTGGGACGGGAGGAGGCTTTGCAGTATCGGTGGTACATCCTGGGTTCACGCTGGTCCTCCTAATTAGACCCGTGTCAATCCGATCCATCCGATTCGGTATACGTAGATAGGGGCTCGATCCGGTTCGAGCCGATGTCCCAGCGATCCGATGCGGCCCGACGCTTGCACCAGCGTAACAACTCTGTGTCCGGGCGCGGCTGGTCCGGTTCGATTCCGACCCCGTGCCGACGCGCCCTGATGCGATGCAGCCTCCGTCCGACCCGACTCCTCGACGTTCGGCGCCGGTCGCTCCCGCCTGGCGCCGGGGGGGGGGGGCTGTCTGGGCGGCATGGATGGCACGCCTCCCGGGCTCGCTCCGAGGCGGCCTGGCTCGACGCATTCTCTGATCCGCTCCGCGTGGTCGCTTCGCCTCTGACCGCGGCTGCCCCCTCCCGCCCGGCGCTCCCGGGTCTCTCGGGGGCCCGGGCCTCTCGTGGGCCCGCCCGAGGACCTCACCGCCCAGATCGGCAACGCCAATGAGCGCCTGAGCGTGATCGTGCCCGCCCGGGCCAAGCTCCTGGAGGACCGCCTCGCTCCTCGCTCCTGCCTCGCCTTCCTCTCGCTCAGCGGAGGGACGCCTGCCGATGCTCGGGGGGAGTCAGGCGAGCCAACGCCAGCCTCTGCCTGGCGGTTGCCTTGTCCTCCTGTGCCTCCTGGAGGCTTCTCGTCGCCACGGCTGCGCCCTCCTCGCAAACGGGTCAGGGGCTCGGGACGGAGGCCCCAGGAATCGATTTCGATCGGGATCTCGGCTGGGCGGGGTAGCCCCCGCCGTTGTCTCGACCTCGTGCGGGCAGAGAGGCCACAGAACAGTGATCCGACGAGCTTTGCCCTCTTCCGCCAGCCCCCCCCCCCCCCCCCGAGATTGCTGGCCATGTCCACGCTCGGTTGGCAGGTTCGCTGTCTGTCTTGCCCTGCTGGCTGGCTGGCTGGCTGGCCGCTCGGTTCGGTGGCTCGACGTCCAAGTCAGAAGTTTCGTGCTTCAGTTGGGCTGTTTGCCGGACCGCTGGTTGCGCGCGTCTTTCACGAATGACGAGGGGTGGTGGCCTCAGGAGCGCACCTTCACAGCATAATCTGCGCGGGTTCTAGGCTTCTGGCGCGCGCACCCTTTCCTGGTTACGAGTGCTCGTGGTTTCGGGCTCCGAGACGAGTCCCGGGGGAGAGGGGCGAAAGGGGTACCCCTTAACACAGATCCCGCTCTGAAGAGGGGTTGGCGTTTTTGGGCAGCCGTTGCGGGATGGGTTCGTGGCCAAGGAATGTCAACTGTGTAGGGATGTGCTAGAGCTTGTGGCTTCGGAGGCGCCAACTTGTTTGCAACTGACACATGATTGTAGCCTCGGGAGCAGCGCCTTTTATGGGATAGTGTTGCTTGGGGAGCGGCCATCTGGTGCAAGTTTGGGAGCGCCAGCGCCTAGTATTACCCATGGGGGTGTGGTTTCGCAGTCGCAGCTTTGAAGCCTCCGTGGTTTTCCTTGCCCTCTCTGGTCTTGTGCCCAGGAGTCGTACGAGTTGCTATAGTTCCCGTTCACTAAAGCATCTCCAGTTCAGCAAGTTACCAACGCGCCTCTGACGTGCACGGCATCTAGCTAGCTTGTGGCTTTGGGGGCGCAAATTTGTTGCAATGTAGAAAGGGTGTTTGGCCTTGCGAGCGTGAACCTGGCGTATGTTGTTGGGGATTGCGACTTGGGGAGCGCGAGCCTGGACTAATTGACAAGGGATGGTGACCTTGGGAGTGTCGACGTGTAGCACTTGTCTGGGAATTCTATTCGGTGACGCAGACTTGCTGGAGATTGCAAAAAAGAATGTGGCCTCGGGAGCGCGAATCTGGCGACATGTCAAGAATTGTGGCGTGGGGAGTGTGAGTCTGGCGTAATCCACAAAGGATTGTGGCCCCTGGAGTGCGAGCGCGTAGCAAATTACAACGGATTGCGGCCTCGTGAGCGCGAATATGGTGTACTTGACGAAGGGGTTGTGGCCTCGGATGCGCGAACCTGGCGCTGGCCTCGGGAGCGCGAATGCGACGTAAACTACACCGGATTGCCTCGGGAGCGCACGTCGGTTGTACCTACGTGATCCAGGGCCCCCGAAGAAATCCAGACGTGATTTGGGAATCAGGATCGGCCGATGTGCGGCCCCCCCCCCCTTCGCGCGGACTCCAATCATTGCAGCAGTGGAACTCGAACGTGTAACATTCTTGAACCAGAACCTGGAAGTCATTACTAACGCTCCCCTCGCCTTCTTTTGCGCACCACCTGCTCCCTCCAACAGAGGGTTGGCGGCGCCTGACATGATAATGTCAATGCTTTTTGAGATTTGCAGCTATGTGTGCTTGGAGGTAAAAAGCGCGCGCCATCCCCTCGCCCGGGTCG